ATGGACAACTTTAGGTTTGTTTTAGAAAGCTGTGTTTAATAATAACTCCTATCTCTGATAAACAGCAGAAGAATCTCTGAAGCATGAGTGATTTACTTACTCAGTCTGTAACAGCAAGTGAACTGTTGTTAATACAATAATGAAATGGTAGTTAATGTGGCTTCGCCCTCTTTGAGTAGGAATTGAACATTATCCAACTGAAAGAGTAACATAATTTAAACATGTTGTGGAGCAAAATTATTTTCCTGGCTTGACATATCTTTAAATGCAATCTAAATTTTTCAAGGATTACTTTAATAATAAAGACTATACAGTCAGTAAAGGTGATTGGTTTGTTACAAAAAAGAAAAGGTTTTCTTTTTTTCTTTAGTAAAGCAAGGCTTCATTCTCTCAGTTTTACAGATGCAATTAATTTAATTTCCTTATTCAATTTAATGTTTTATATATAATATAATTAATATTTTAATTTTGGGGAAGAGAGAGGGGAGAACCAGATGAACTTCTCCTTTGCAAAGCATCATAGATGTTATGATAGAGTTGTTGCTCCTAAATAACAGCAGATTTATTCCTGACACAATGTCTTGGCTTCCCTTCCTTTTAAATGAAAGTAATGCCTTAAAATATCCAGACACAGTGATCTGTGAGTGTCTTATAGATACAATTTGCCTGGTTATTAAATCCTCTCAGGACAGTAAAGACTGGAGACTTGACTGTTCTTTAATAACTCTTCTGCCAGTCTCTCTCTGATGAAAGCAGAGGTTGGCCAGTTTATCAGTGAGAATGGCATGTTAGTCTGTTTTACAACAGACAAATACATGTTAATGACCTAGATATGAAGGATAATCTGCTCTGACCAGAAATCTGTTGGATACAGGGCAACTAACTTCTGCTCATGCTGTCTGCATGCAAGGTTGAGCACACTGCAAAGCTAATGTTTAAATATGTGACTGTTTCAGCTAGAATGTACAATAGCAGTTAATGGGCACATCAAAGCAAAAGAATGTAAAGTAAAACTATATTTGCTAAAACCTTAGGACCTCAAAAACCTTAAACACCAAGAGAAATGGACCTAAAATTTACCTTTCCTGCTTTCTCTTGCTTTCTGCAAAACATCTGCCCCAGGAAAGATGAGATAAGGCACAAGCAGACTCTCTCACCTTCCTGCTGTTGGCAGCGTTCAAGCCCCAGCCTCAGACTTCATAGAATCACAAAATCATTAAGACTGAAAAAGATCTGTAAGATCACCAAGTCCAACCTTCAACCCAGGACCACCATGCTCACTAAACCATGTCCCAAGGTACCACATTACTTTTTTTTTTTAACACCTCCAGGAACAGTGACTCCACCACTTCTGTGGCCAGCTTGTTCCAGTGTTTGACTGCTCTATTAGCAAAGAAATTTTTCCTAATATCCAGTCTAAACCTTCCCCGGCACAACTTGACGCCATTTCCTTCATTCCTATTGCTTTTTACTTGGGAGAAGGGACCAACACCCGCCTCACTACAACCTCCTTTTGGGTAGTTGTAGAAGGTGGTAAGGTCTCCCCTCAGTCTCCTTTTCTCCAGGCTAAACAACCCCAGTTCCCTCAGCAGCTCCTTATAAGTCTTGTGTTCCAGTCCCTTCACCAGCCTTGTTGCACTACCCTGGACACGCTCCAGTGCCTCAATGTCCTCCCTGTAGTGAGGGGCCCAAAAGTGAACACTATATTTGAGGTGCAGCCTTACCAGTGCCGAGCACAGGAGAAGGAACCCTTCCCTGGTCCTGCTGGCTACGCTATATCTGATACAGGCCAGGATGCTGTTGGCCTTCTTGGCCATCTGGCCACATTGCTGGCTCATATTCAGCCTGTTGTCCACCAGCACCCCCAGGTCCTTTTCTGCCTGGCAGCTTTCCAGCCACTCCTCCCCAAGCCTGTAGCGCTGCATGGGGTTATTGTGACAGGAATCCGGCCCTGAAACCTGCCACAGGGCCAACACTGCCCAGCAAGTCCCATCCCAGGACAAGGATGCGTGATGTCCCTGGCTGTGTGACAGTCTTGGGGAAACTGCCACCTCAGCAAGGGGCACCCGAGCTCACAGCCCACAATCATAGAGAAGGATATCTGACTGCCCGTCTCCCCAGAATTTTTCCCATCAGAGTCTCTGATGCTTTTCTTTTTTTTCAAGCAGATTTAAATATTTTGAGATAGATGAGTTTTATTGCACCTTTGTAAAATTTCTCACTGTCCTCTGCCTCAGCTGCAGTCATCTTAGATGACTTTGTTAGAGCACCCCTGTGTCCTGACCATGGCATCTCAGAATACCTCATTTGCCAAACAGTGAAAATTAAAAAAAAAAATAAAAAAATGGAAAAAAATGTATATGTATGTACAGAGCCCATAAACAGCAGTCATTATTTGATTCATGGAAGATTACCCTCTAGAACAATGTATTGCTGAGGACTTTTTTAGGTTCAGGTCTTGATTTCCTCAGCTGCCCTGGTTCCTGGGACTAATTTGCAGTCCACCACATGTCAGCCAAAGCTGACGCTGTCCTCCATGCCTGGGTCAGGGCTTGGGATGAGGCACTGGACCTGTTCCTTGCCCCTTGCTGAGTACTGGCTGTCTCCTCTGTGGTGCTGAGAAGGGGAAGGGAGAAGGGGAAGAGGAGGGAGAGGGAAAGGGGGACGGAGAGGGAGAGGGAGAGGGAGAGGGGGAACAGGAAGGGGAAAGAGAAGGGGAAGGGGAAGAAGCTTTTTTCCTCTCTGTTGGTGGATTCTCTCCTTCAAGCCCTTTACTATAACAAACGCCTAGAACAAACCCCAACAAATGCAGACAGAGATTACCAGAGCTTTCTCAGACATTCATGCATTCAAGTTATGCAAATACCACACAAACCAAATTAAATATTGCAAATTATATTAATAATTTAAATTCTGTAGCTAAAAATAGTCAAGAATATCTAAATAATCTTAAAGTGTTTGCATGCAAATTTTATAAGTTTTGTGTGTTTGTTTTTTTTTTTCCTGAGGAGACAGACCAACTGATAAATAAACACTTTCCTTTTCCAGTTATCAGTTCTTAATACCAGACTTCCAATAAGTAATGATTTGGTGTAAATTTTCTTTTCTTATCTTGTATTACACAGGTTATTCTTTCTGGCTTTACATATCATTTAGTTCTTCTTGTTATCCAAGATCTCAATCTGGATTTCTCCAGCTATTTTTCCATAGCTCTGAAGTGTGATTGAGTTAAACAAAGTATTTGACAGCTATCTGCACTTCAAACTTGTTTCTAAAATTAAATTGTTGCATCTTAGAAACATCTTGACTGTTTGATTTATTAGAAATTTACTAAACAAATAGACTTCTGTATCTTCTTTTCGATTTGCCTCTATGAGGGTTTGTCTATAAAACTCTTCTATTATTTATTCATAGCAAAATAACATTCATCATGAGGCAAAAATCAATGGCACTCAATGCTCTAGCAACTCGATAGTGCAATCTTTACACAGAATTGGTAGGGTTGTTTTTCTCATCTGGTAAGTAATAAGTCCACAAATCCTACAAGGTCATTGGAAGTATGCATACTTTGGAAATGAAGTAAGATTTCCTTTAAAATGGGCTTAATAGTTTTTTTTTAACTATTACACACACACACACACACACACGAATATACACACTCACACAGTTTGTATGCACCCGCATAGGTAGATACGTCTACATATATACATGTGGGCATCCGCTTAATTTAGTCATCTAATGCCTTCTGTATTACCTAAAGATATTTGTTATTGGAAAGTCCACCTAGTGAAAATTTTTGTGTTCCAGCTTAAGGTTAGGAGCTCTTTCCAGAGTGTTTCTCAAACTGCAAACTCCATTTTGAATAACTTCTCAAAAAGCTAACTTTTCTGTTAGCTTTTCCATTTCAGATGGGAATGTGGTTCTGAGGAGCAGGAATATGGGCAAGGGTCATAAACCTTCCCAATCCTCTCTGCCTATGAACAGGCTCTTTGGTGTGGTTCTGGCACCTCTTCAGGAGGACCATCTGTCCAGGCCAGTAGCTAAGGAACAGATCGCCTGGTGATGGACTCTTATTACTTGGCAAAACTGATTAAAGGATAACTTGAAAGAATAGATTTAACAGTATATAAGAAAAGTCAGTACTGAGAGGTACAGGCAGATGAAATAAGGAAGCATGGCTATAGCAGTGGAAGAGGTATTCTTGAGAGAGAATCTCAGACATTCACCTGAACTGAAGTTTTGATCAAGAATATCAAGGAAAATAATATCAAAAATGTCTGATTAATTTCTCTAAAGGACAGAGCAAAGAATAATACCAAAATTAAAGGATGTTATGCCAGCAGCCTTCCTGATGCATGTTGTATGTTTTATCTTTCATGTGTCCTGCAGTAATTGCAAATCAGTCTTTGCAATGCTGGAGCTCTGGAGAAGCCTGTCATTGGGTATGCGGAAGAGGTCAAGACTCACTTTGAGGGCCTACAGCCACCTGACCTTGAGGTCCTACTTTTCTGAGGGTGTAACACCAGAGGAAGGATCACATTCAGAAGATATGCCAATAAGCCAGAGAATGAAGCAGTGCAGAGAATGAAGAAGTCCTGAGACAATGGGAGACCCAGCAGCACAAGTTTCCACTTCACTGAACATCCAACAGACTCATGAGTACCAGACAAGAGTACTCTACCAGGACCAGACAAGATTATGTGCTTGTGGGCAGCCTAAATACTGCACAATAGGATACCACACACACTGTGCATTTATAATGAGAAGGCATTAACCTGATTTATTTGTTCTCTGAGCTGGAAACATGAATGGGGTCTTGAAACCAATAATGTGAAACTCAGGCATATTGATCAAGGAAATGGTATTAAATAGCTACTCTTAGTCCTTTTGCTTCACTGTCTACTTTCTTTCTGCACTCATCTCTTCTCTTCTTGACTCCTTTTCGACTTTTTTCTACCACACATCTTCCCTCATTAATTCCCAGTTCTGCTCTTGCTTACCTCCTCTTTGAGGCTTTCATCCTCACTGATTTCCAAAAATATGATCTCCACCTTCTGCTTGCAAAATTCAGTTGCTTCCTCAACCCCTATCTTCTCTTGCCCCTTTCTGCCCTTTGTGGCCAAATTCTCTTCCTTCAAAGAAAAGACAAATCATAAAAGTAGAGTTCTACCTTGCCAAGACCTCCTTTGAACTGAGAAGTGTTATTCTACCTTTTAAGAACAACCAGGAAATAGTTGATTATTTTTTTAATTAAAAACTTCTACTTTTGGATATCCACAGAGCTCATAATGGCTCTAAGTAAACCACAAAGCATTTTGAAATGCATTGTTTCTCATTTGTATTAGTGTTCATGACAAGCACCATGCCCCTTTGCTGGCATGGAAAGCTGAAGATCACCGAGCGTGCTGGCCCATGGAGCAATCTGTGTCTTTGTTCTGTCTGCCCAGAATGTGCAGCACAAACCATTTGGAGGCTTCGGAAAATGAACACGGTAAGTGCTGCAAAACCAGCAAATGGGATTTCATTTTTATTCTAAGTTTAAAGCTCAGCAAAAAGAGTTGTTTGTGCGTAGTACATGCTGTTCTAGTCTGCTGAAAACTGAGTAATGTGATAGTATATGCAAATAAATTAAAGATTTGGCATGCTCTGAAGTACTCCAATGACATGTCCAATCACAGCAGTACCATCTGCTTTCTCTTATATGTGCTAAATTTATAACACTGTGCTAATTTCTATATTAGTTTACATACCACCTTCAGGAAATTATACTTAACAGATAAGCAATATTTGGTCTTTATGACTTATCTTTAGCAAACAGTTAGTAAATGTTCCTCCAATTACTCTCAGCTCTCTTCTTAGAGAAAGGAGTTTAGAAATCAATAACATTGATTAAGTACTCTTTTTATACCTGGCAGTGACTTGCAATTTAGATGTTATTTTGCTACGGTTTTGCTCATGCTAGAATTCTGACAGACCAAAAGGTGATCACACTTTGCCCTGGAGCTTGGATAACAGTAAAACACAAGAAGCTGGGTATGGTACAACTGAATTAAAATTAATCCTTTCTGTATGGAGTGGAAATTTTACCAGAGTGCAGATTGTACCTTCTCTTCAGGTGGTGTTCAATTTGACATTACAGAGAATACCACCTTACATATCAACTCCATAAACAAACCTACAAAACACATATGTTCTCCTTGTAATTTGGGAAGAAGAAAAAGTAATGGAAGGAGACCCTTGGAATCTGCACGGTATAGGCAATACCCCCCTCCTCATGCTTGCTCACTGATGCTCTGAAGCCCAGGAAGACAGAAGACCTGGGAAGGAAAGGCTCCTTTCAATGCCCATCTGGGGTTTCTATGAGTCTCTTGCCCTGTCGGCTTCACAGCTGGATGATTTACTGATGATCCCGAAGCTCATTTGCAGTGTCTCTGCGTGATGCTGCGCTGAATGATTTCTCCCCACAGGATGAAAGGCTGAAATATCCCTTCTTTGGATCTGAGGGGAGCAGGTATTGCAAAGCGCGAGACCATTGAACCATCACCTAAGGGGACAGCTGTCTAGAGGATATTTTAAACACGTTTGACACATTTAAATAGATGGTTTCAGCTTGCCAGTCTTAGAATGGCTCCTAAAATAAACATCAATTTAAAGAATAAGGCAATTTGTTTGAGATGTTTAAGAGAATCTGGCTCATATATACAAGGTGTGACAATTCCAATCACATCTTCATTTCAATTTACAGGACAGAAATAAAATAGGCTTCATTATTGTTGATATTGTTGGTGCTATATATTTGACATGATAATCTACAGTATTAGTCAGTAAATTGACTCACTGGACTGCCCTTGATCATATGCTCCATTTTCTGCTCAGCAGGGCCCTCTCTAACTGCTATATATAACCAGGGAGAAAAAAAAAAAAAAGTTCTCTCTTAGATCATTATAAGATGATGGTGCATTCAGTTTTCCTGTTGCTTCAAAGGTTATAAATGATGTGATCTTCTCGCCATCAGAGATAATATATGGCTACTGTTTGTCTGACTTGTCAACTTCTCACACAGAAATCCAATTCTTCCCACTTGTCACATATTCACTTCAGATGCATGCTCTCTCGCAGGGCCCAAAATGGAATAGTCACTGTATTCCTATCTGCCAGTTTTCAAGTCTTGCCTTGTGTGGTCCTTCTTTGTCAAACCACAGTTGTCACGTTAGCAACCCACATGAGTACTTGCAGCAAACATAAAATCTCCTGATGGTAATTAAAATTCTGTATGCTTTTCTATTAAATAAAGAAAATCATCGTGCATCTTAATCTGTAGCTCTGCTCTTCTGCCACCATTTATTAAATGTCTGATTACTGAGCTAATTGCTTAAGCAGGTTGTTTTTAGACTGCATCATGCATTTATGCATGCATCATGCATTTTGTATCATTGTCAAAATAAGTATTGGATCATTCCTGGCTTCTCATCTCTATGTTGAAAAATTGTTTCCTCAGTCCAGACAGAAGTTAAAATTAGGTCTAACCTCTAAAAGGGGCTATAGGGTGAAGGGCAGTTCTCAGTGCTAAGGATGAGAGCACAGACTCAGAAAGCAGACAGCTCAGTACAAGATCGGCACAAGTTATAAAATAAAAACTCATGTAGCTATATTTCAGCAGCATATCTGCAGTTGTAACCTGTGCTGCTGCAGAAGGAAGCAGAACCAAAAAGCCTTAGGATAGAAAGAGTCTATCACTATTCCTGTCCAGAATGGTAAATAATTGTTCAGAGACTTTTTCACTGACCTTTGTTCCTGGAGTACTCACAAGTCAAGGAGAATTATAGGGTGTAAATCAGAAATACTCAACTGTGGGTTAACACATCCAGACGGAGATGTAATTCAGCTCACAGTCTCCCTGTGGAACAATCCCTCACAAATCTCTTTTAAACTCACTCCTGATATATTGGGCACATTACAGAAGAAACTGTTTAAGAGCACTGATTAATATTTTCAGCAACTGTAAATCTCCCAGCGTACTGTCTGGTGCTTGCTCTGCCAGCTGGCTCGCAAGGGCTCTTCTGGTCCTGTTCCCTGCCATTCTACAATTCTGTGTTTGCAGCCTGAAGAGCAGAATAGAAATCAATAACTGTTGAGGCCAAACAGCTTTCTCTATGTTGTAATGCTTTAAACATGCAAAGAGGCTAAAGTCTAAGCCTCTTTGCTTCAAAGCTTCAAAAGCTGCCAGCAGAAAAGATCCCCAAATTCATATGCATTTGGTACAAATTCCTAAAACATCTTCACTTTGATATGGAAGACGAGAGGACATGTGGTAAAAGAAAGGTCAAAATTCACATCCCACCATGGCATGCTGATTACCCTTTGGGCACCCCCATACCCAGCGCTTTGGGAGTGCAGGCATCTGACTTGGGCTAAGGCAGCCCATAGCACACACAAGAGATAAGTTGTGGTATGCCCCCTAAAAATACCTTTATATCTCCCCTCAAATGAATATGACCTCACTATGGGAGAACTAGGTTCTTGTTTCATAGCTGAAGGAGGTAAATATTTGACAGACACACAAGAGTCAGGTTGGGCAGCAAGGAACATAGAGCAGTGACAGAAAAAAAGTGAGACTGAGAACACTGGCTGGGATGCCACATGCAATAAAGCCATCTATTATCCTGATTTGGGGTTTGAAAAATATTCAGGTTATATTTATAACATTTAGGTTCAAACACAGTGTCTGATGAAAAAAATCTGTTGTCATGATATAAGTCTGATATTCAAACCCAGCTACGCAAATACCCACGAGATAAATCACCAGACAAAGGGAAAAGCGGTAACAGAACAAAGAAGGGCGACAAAATCATCAGTCTTCAGGCATCAAAAAGTAAAATTCAAATAGATTATTTTTTATACCAAGATAACACAATATAAACCACAAGGGAAAGCGAACAAAGATCAAAGAGCAAATAAGAGACAGACAACACAAACAGGCATCCCCAGTATCTAGAAGAAATAGAAGAACAGGAGCATACAACACCAGAGCATCTTAAAAGAGCTGTCATGTATTTGGGGAAAAACATCCTTTGTGCAAACTTTGAAAAAAAAAAAAGTATTTACAGCTAGGGAGCAAGACAGCATTTTCTGTGCCTGTAAAATCTACTCTCTCTGTACTTTTTATTACTTTCTTCACACTCCTGTTTGGCTCCTATGAAAAAGTACAGTTTATATCTCCACCGTATGAACATCCAGCACAGGTAACAGTAAGGACAGAATAATAAAAGACCAAACCATTAGCAAAAAATACAGAACTGATTTCACCATAGTTCATGACAGATAAATCTAGGACACCTCCAAAATAAGGAACAAAATGGCAGTGCTCAAAAACATTTAAAAAAAGGAACTGCAACTGCTAGCTAATCAATTGGCTTTATGTAAGATCTGAAGTCAGTGCAAAGGTGAAGATTTAGAGGAGCACTGATTTAGTGCTTCACGATTTTATTTTATTTTTTTTAAATTATGGGAGCAATCTTGTTTTCCCCTATTGATTTTGCTTCCTTGCTTGTATGGGTTAAGGACCACCAGTAGCCCCACAACCACCATCTCAGAAATCTGAAATGGCAGGATGAAGCTGGCTTATACTAAGTTCTTAAATATGCTAAATTTGCTCTTGCTCTTGTTCATGTAATTGTACAAAGAGAACCTCAGATCAGGAAAGAAAACTAGCATAACTAGCTCTCCTTTCACTTTCAACCCTGCTCTCCTTGCAGGCAAAATCACTGAACTCAGTATTACTTTGTTCATGACAAATACCAAATGAACCCTGCAAATATGCATTACAGTTTGCAAAGTCATTAGTCATCCTGTTTGTTTTCATCTAGTGCACATCATTGAATATTTCTATTTCTTGATCTTCCTCTATTTCCAACACTCTTTTCCCTCCCTGTGTGCACTCCTGGCAGCTCCAGTGGCCATATGTACTCCTAGTCCCATGAGTGCTGAGGAGCAGATATCAAAAACCCATAGCAAGTTTAAGAAAAGTGTTTTAATAATTCATAAAACATCACATTGAGCTGACTGCTCTATCCATAAGTAGTAAAGGCTACTCGTCACAAAAATACCACCTTTAGCTTAGAAAGTCCTTGAG